TCAGAAGATTAATCACACTTCAAAAACGGGTCGTAAGAATAATGTCGAGGAGTGCTTTCGATGCTCACACTGACCCCTTATTTAAAAATTTAAAAATTCTGAATCTTGAGAGTATCTACAAACTTCAAATAGGAAAATTTCTGTATCAATACAGATCTGGCTTACTTCCTTATAGCTTCAATAACATGTTTCTGGTGACACGCGAGGTGCATTCTTATGGCACTAGAAGTTCAGAGCATTTTTATTTACCACAATGCAGGACTAATATAAGAAAGTTCTCCATCAGTTTCCAAGGTCCTAAATTTTTTAACTCTCTTAGTTTTGAAATTCGAAATGCAACAAGTACCACTTCCTTTTGCTGTAAGCTGAAAGCATTCCTCTTATCATAAATAGTTATTTATATATATATATATATATATATGTATTTTTTTTTCTTCCTTTGCTCTTTTATTTTCTTTTGTTTTGTTTTGTTTTGTTTTTTTCTTTTTGTCATTTGGCTTTTTTTAGCCTAGAACTATGATTAGTACGACTATCTAATATACTTATTTTAAGATTTACTGTAGCTCTGCCATTGATTTTCCCGTGTGTAATTATGATAATATTTTGTTCTAATTATCTAACTGAGGGAGCCCATTCCTTATAAGCCCGGTGGCTTCTCTTGGGCTTCCTCGCCATGAGAGTTAAGGTAATTAGATTTTATTTGATTTGTATAATTTTTTGGCAAACAAAACAATAAACAATACAACTTTCAACCCTTCATTATGTGATTTGCTTTTTTCTTAGAAATATATACGTCAACAATCATTTCATTGCTCAGCACCATTTACATCTACAAAATATCAAATTGACTGGGACTCTGCAACATGTATAACGTATTCTACAGAAGTTACTATCAACGCCTTACTTTAGAAAGCTGGTTTACTAACTTAGAACAAATGCCCTGAATGGTAGCCAACATGGTTACCAGCGCCGTACAAATGACTTATCGACGAGATCAAGCAAAACTAACTACAAGAGAACGACTGGAGAACTGCACTAACAATAAAAATTAATAGATGACTGTTTAACCGTGACAATAGACGGTAGCCAATGACATCACAGCTTAACTGACAGATGACCAATAACATCACAACGTAATTGCCCAGTCAGATCAATAACCAGAGTATAATACCATCAACTGACGTGATACAACTCACTTTGACTCTGAAGATGACTTAACTGCACAGAATGTTGAAACGTCAGTCACTATCATCAACAACAGTCCTATTCAGGACTACATTCACCCGCACGATCAAACTCAATCTACTTTTGTAATTTTATTCTGTTTTTACATAACTGATGCAATGCATGTTGTTGCATGTTGTTCTGTTAACCTTTTGACAATAAAATATATTTTTTTAACAAACACCTTATCTTTTATCTTTCTCAAGATCATTATCAATATATTGTTAACCATCATCATCATCAACAACTTTTTTTTCTCCCTGGACACTAACTCTACAATAGAAGCGGTAAAAATCTATGGTCTGCCTAGAAACAACACACTTTGCGTCTTAAACAGATGATCAAACACACTCCTTAATCTATGAATACCCCTAGTTATTCATCTTTAAACAGTGTCTAATGTTCTCAGTTTTGCCTTACATGTAGAGGTCTTTCTTGGTTAATTAAACTAACAGTGTGTCACTGACAACCAAGGAGGTAATACCTCACAAAACACATATGATAGAATCTTTGAAAGAACCAGTAAACCACAATCAATAATTGAACTCACTCACTTCAATTCCTCATGAACCTATTTGTGAGTGTTTACTGTATTTAGATGTTTAATGAAGAACAAAGCATATAAAACAATAAACGGATATGTTGTAGTTAATATTTTTTTTATCTCTGGTATTTTTTCTTTTTCTTTTTTTTCAACTTCATTAGCATATAGTTATACATGTACAGTTGTACCATACCCAAAAACAAAAGAAAAACAAAAAATTACATGAGATAAAAAATTAACTACAACAGATACATTAAAGTGACTGCATAAACACATAAATAAGCCTTTTTAAAAAAAATAAAGAAGGGTTGAGTATAATAATGTTAAATTGTATATAGGTGATTTTCATGCAATCTCGGGAGACACAAATAACAATGGTGAAATGAACAAATGCTGGTGGACACACAAAACGAGCTAATGAGCGATAAAATTTAGTTCTTACTCTTGACCCCCTGGACGATCGAAACCCCTGTATGAGTACTCTCACACGGTACTATTTGTTTTCGGACGAAAGGAAATTTCGACTTCGTCGTTAATAACGTTTTGCTTAGTGCACTTTCGGAAGTGAAGAGTAAAACTGGTAAAGACATCAATAACTTTACATACCGCTGTTTCACCTCTCGCTGTATTGCTGACATTAAGTTGGTAATTGTTATCCCTCTCACGATACCAAAGTTGAAGCTCTCCTGCCTCATCCTTATTTTTACTCCCCCATGACACGCTTCCACGTGCCACACAAATCTGTGTAAAGCCAAGATGACTGAGCCGACTGACCGAGTCGCCCATTTTGTTTATTGGAAGTTCGCCTCGTCCCCAGGCTCTCATCCTACTGAAAATCGCACCTGCCGCAAGGACTTATGGGCTGGAAAGAAAACTCAGACGAGATCAACAAAATGCACATTCAAGGTGACGTTTTTTATTTTCCTAAAGATGCCTAATGTTTGAAAACGATGCTCTGTGGTCGAGTAAAGTTATGCTGACAAATACGGGCAAATTCTCAGTTGGACTGAATGCGGAAGCAAACACTTAAAAAAAAGCGTAAACCCGGCACATAAAAATATGTGACAGGGAATTTTCCCGGCCACGGCTTTCTCTTTTCATTTTTTATAAGTGTGATGTCGCCACCGGGATTACTACTCTCTCTTTAACCTGTCGGACCAGCTCCACTTTTTGAAGATTGTCTCTTTTGTAGTTCGCTCGTTTCGCCTTACCCAGGCGAAAATGGTCTACGGCGCAAGCGAAACGAAAAATACTGGCTAAGTGTAGGTTATGTTCTCGGCCGATGCTTGCTGTTTTAGGAACGGAAAGTCAATCTTACACCCATTCAGGTATCATCGAGTGCTGTGCGTAAGAAGTTATCCATATTAAACAAACTGTAAGAGTGCATCATTCGATGCCAACTTCTTTATCACAATTAAAATCACCATAGCACTTAGTTTGTTGTCTTTTTTAGTATAGTCTTATTAAGGCTTAGCCCAAGTCATACCTAGATTTATCTCTAAGGAGCCTAATTCTAATCTGCTGACGAGCGTCCCAATCACATTCATAGACGAGTCGTCCCACCCGAGCAGTGTGGATCCATTGTTCATTAACGAGAGTAATTCTGAGGACCAGTTAAAGTTTGATGCTTGTACCGAGAAGTTACCGCAACTTTAGGGGTCATTTGTCCTCTTATCACTTGTGCATCATTTTACTACTGTAAATCCTCTATAAAGCCCTCTCTCTCAAATAACCCCCCCCCCCCCCCCCCTAAAAACCCCCCCCCCCCCCAAGGAAAAAAATTTAACCCCCCCCCTCCTTCCCCCCCCCCCCCCCCCCCCCCCCTTTTTTTTTTTTTTTTTTATTATTTTTTTTTTTTATTCATTCACTCACTTTAACAATTCTTTTTTTTTTTTCTTATTCTTTT